TTCAACTACAACATCCTCATCAATTCATTGGCATAAAAGTTATATTACATTTTATTAACAATGCTTTGTAAAACGTTTCATTTACAGAACTTACTGCATTTGTAGGAAGAGGGGGTATAAAAGGTATTATTTTGTTAACACATGTATGTACTTTATTGCATTGCTGCAAAGAAATAATAGAAATGAGCTATTTAAACTAGCATTTTATTACAAAAATGCTATGGCTATTAGAACTACAGCATTTAATAATGTTCAATGATATTTTAAAATTTAGTTTATTAAATAATGTTTAATGATAGATTAAAATTTAGTTTTGATATTGATTTTTCTTCTTAAATATGCTAATCCTCACTTAACGGAGGCTTAATAACAAATAACTTAAGTTTCATTACAATAATTAGTTTCTTTATATTATTTATATTATTGATTTCTTTATATTGATTGCACTGAAGTGTACATGTTACTTGAATATTATAATGTATATGATGATGTACTCTGTACAAATCAGAAATAAAAGTTCTGTTGTCTTCTGTCTTTTTTGGTATATCATAATTGTAAAAAGGGACACAAAAAGCAGAGTCTAAGTTAAGAACATCAGGTTCAGCACTGTTAGACATTATAAAAATTAGATTAAACCAAAATTGAATTATAATGTCAAATTTGTATGGGTTTTTTTAGTTGCATTTCAATATTTTTCCTGTAAATTTAATATTTTAATGATAACTGTTGTCAACTTATTTTGCAACCGTTATTTCTATTTCCGCGACTCGTTTCGGGATTTGGTCGTTGATTTTTTGGACAAAACCGTGTATCAAAATTTTAAATGACATAGTAGAATTATGATATTAATTGTGTGTATATAAAATGAACATTAAATATTCTCCTACAGCTGTGCCTTCGTATTTATGTATACATTTATATCTATCCTTTTGTTCGACTTGAATACAATATTAACCAAGCTACAATGTTTCAGACAATGAAGTTAACTATAAAGTTATACAAAATTTAATTTTTCTCCCCTGATTTTCATTAGTAATACTTCTATAGAAAACTTGGAATTGCTTTAGAAAAAAGGCTTTAATAATATCTGATTAAATTTATTAATTTTATTCCTGTATTTATTTTAACTTCATTTCTGTGAAACTGTGACATTTCCTTTCCTAAGTTCAAAAATGTGAAGAAAAAAGCATAAATAAAATAGTTACTTTAAGAAAAGCTACGCATCACACATTGTTAGTCCTATGAATTTTAGAAATCCCAACTATATTTATGCAGTTACGAATTCGAGTTCACATTTGACAAGTGTGTATTTTCTGATAAAAATAAGAGACAAAAAACGCCGGCAATTTAGGACTCGCACTTAAAAGAAACACATAAATTAAATGATAATTTTAAATATTTCAGCCAAAATAACAAGTTTATCGGTGAATTTTCCTTCAACTTGGAATGAATTTGATATATGTTTAAACGTCCTACCATTTATCTTTTAATTTGAAGGCCTAGCCTCAAGGCGGTCGTGCTAAATCCCCGCAAGCGACGTAAAAGCTACCCAGTTATCTACTGCGTAGCGCCCCCTTGCGGTTGCCCCGAAGATCGCATTAATATATTTGACTGCACGTTCAGTTAAGGCGAACGGCAATGTTATTTTATTTACTCTGCCGTACGCATATTTGGTCTAGGGATTAGTTCGCTAAATTTTCGCCACTTCAGTTTAAGCACAGGTGTTTTAAGACATTCGATGGGAACATTTGAACATTTCATTAATTAAAGGAATGTGTGGCGGTAAGTGTTACATAACCTGCCCATTTTTACAAGCAAACCTTGGCGATGACCACAAGAAATAATTTTTTTTACTTCAAGCCCAGAATTTGTCACTGTAAAATGTCAACAAAGCACTATCTTAACGATTTTCCGGAAATAATTAGTATAAAAATGTTCATGTGGAAAAACATGCGTGTTAATATCATAAAACATAACAGATGATTGAAAAATATCAGAGAGGAATAGCAAGAAGCAATAATGTCCCCGTGTTCAGTTTTTTTCCCTATACGCTTTCAAGAGCAATTATTATTTAACCAGTTGTTAGTACATGACCGCTATGATTTCAGTATAAAAATTGCACCTGAGATTTAAACTAGTTATAATCATGGACAATTTTCTACCTTAATGTCTTAAGAACGTTAAATATGGCAAGTTGGAGGTCAATGCTGACATTAGACAAATACTAACACTGATTTTTCTGCTATCATATTACCAGAGTTGAGGGACAATTTTCTAAATAAGCCCCGAACAAACAGACGTTAGGCTACGGCGGTTTGCGTGTGGATCACACAAGGAAAAAAAGTAGTGTTAAAACAAAACCTGAGAAGGTTGTGAAGAAGTATGAATCATGGAAGAAGTATGTTTATATATGTTAGCAACAATTACAAATTGACCTACCATGTAACCCCTTTAAATCTACCTAGAGACGCTCGTGAAAAAAAGTTTAAGAATAAATCTAAAAAAATCAACATTCAGGCTTAACAAGTGTTTTGTTTTTCACCCGCCATTATATAAGCCCTGATCACACGTTTCCATGGACTACTTTTAATCGTTACTTACAATTATTTAAATTTCAAATTGCACGATGATGTACTTGCATACATTTTGACTCAACAGTGACTCGTAATAGAGGAACAATTCTATATATCATTTCAGGGTATGAAAAAATAAATTTTGAACACTCAGGTGGTGTTAATCATTTACAAAGTCAAAACGAAAAAACACAATTCAAAATGTTCAATCCCCTTGCGGTTGGTTATAAAGATGGCATCGGGCTAGTCGCGGGGCAGCCCCTAGTGACCATGCTGTCCCCTTGCTATTTTGTGGTAACCCTGTCTCAACAAAATGTCCTAACTTCTTGTTAAAGCTACACTCTTTACTTTCACTGTCGTGAAATTTAATAACCTTAAAACAATCCCGGCACAGGGACTTTACTACAGGCGATAAGGTAAGATTTAGATAGTTTTAATGTGATTTACCCAGTGTTTGTCGGGATTACCTCAGATTTTCTGAGATTATATACTTATTAATAATCCACAGCGGACCGTTTTATTTTAAACACTCATTGGGTAGGAATTTTTATAGACTAAAATTAATTTCTGCATGTTTACATGCTGTTGAAGAACACGTGTTTGAAGATATGTATTTTTCTATGTTTGGTAAACATAAGGTTTTCATATCAAACAGTAACGGGAAAAGTCTGACTGACCATTTCGCGAATTAACGATACTTTCGCCTCACATAAAAAGTTAAAGTAATTATTATTCCATCTTGGTAAATATATTTGACCAAAGAAAAAAATGTTGTGAACTAGTCATTATTGATTGATATTATTGGTTTATTTACACGATTGTAGTGAGGAGGTATAACTCCAAAATAATAATTTAATACTGAAATAATAGTTTTATTTTATTCTGTATCAAAATTGATAACTTTATTGGTGAGCAAAAAGTATATACATATAAAGATAGGAGGGGATTATTTTTCGTAGAAAGTCTAATAGCATTAATTCTATCACACTACACGCCGCCTTCGCCTGGCACCATCCAATAGTTTCTCTTCCATTCGCTTCCAATCAAATACTCTTCAACAAACCATTATAGTTTCTTTAGAAAATACTCAGTGATACTATACAAGATTTCAATAATTTTAAGGCATCACATCGCCTATTTATTTATCTTAATTTATAATTAAGATAACTTTTTTTCTAAATAATCGAAGATTCGATTCCAGAGAAGTAAAACATAAAACGATTTTTTTTGTTGTTGTTTCTAGTGGCTTTGCAATAGAAATTATACCCACGACCTTAAAATCTTTTCTCATCAGGGCATGACAATTTAAAGACATTACATGAAACTTGCAGCCTCATAACTTGATGCAGACGACATTATTCACCAAAACGTGTATTTCACATTCTGCTTTTCACAAAATACCTTGTGACACAGGATTTTTTTTTTCATGAAATATTAAATTTCGCGATATTTTATGAGCTAAGCGATACGCTATGTGGGCCGTAGTTATTCGTGTACATTTCACGGGTAGGTGAACTTTATGTTAAAATTTAACATAAAACAGACAAAAAAAGAATAAAGAATATTGTGTTGGTGTAAAATTTTCAACAATGCATATTTTTTTAAATCTTAAAACACTCGATTTGCGTGTACTTTGTTTTTTATTGTTATTATTTAACAGACATAATTTCATTATAATGGGAACACGTTTTCTGGTAAGGCCTTTTCTGAAATCATTTTCGTATTTCGATAAACAACATATGGATTTCCACTTTTATACCAGTTTTCATCATTTGATTTAATGAAGTAAGACTCAATCCCCGTATTTGTTTTAATACGGTGTAAATTAAATCTTCGGATTTAACCGATTTTCTTAAATCCTAGTGACTTGCACATACAGATAAAATGACCGGAAATTGGCCGAATATATCTAAAGACAATTGTCGTCTGCTTTATAACATATAATAGGCGGTGCGTTGTTTTAACTACTTTATGTAATTATCACACGTTGCAACATGCATTGTACCTGTTAATTATCGAGAATTTGCCATTCAAAAGGCGATGATTGCATTAAAGACTATGTGTGAACCACTAAAGTATTATACTGCATGTGTGAAAAATGTCGCCAGGATTTTAAAAAAAAGCACCGCTCGTTTGAAGACAAAACATGCCATTTATCAATCAATGTCACATATTGACACTCGAGTATCGAGAATTGTTTCTGTCAATTCAGTTTTTAAAGAAGAAAAAAACATTTACATATCCATACAAATTTAAATAATAAAGAGCTGGTATTCAAGTTAGAAATACCTTTTTTCCCCCCACAAAATTAAAGATTTTTTTTGGTCCAGCGTATTTTGTATGAGTATTGAATTTTATGTAGCACAACTTATTTATCTAAGAATTACTCTCTATATATAAAACACAAATAACGAATGGAAAACAATATAAAATTATTTCAATGACATTTATTTTTTTCTTGTAAAAAGAACTTTTTTTATAATGTATAATATATACATCTAAGACAGTATTCTCAACAATATATAATATAAATAATAAATGTCTGTAGCAACTAGAGATTTCTCCTCTATATTTCTTGTAGTGTGACTATTCAAAACATCACTGTTGTGAAAAGAGTTTTGAAACAAATAATAAATTCGAATAAAAATTGAAACACAATATACATATATATCTATAATTACAAAGTGACAAGAAAGTAAGTGATATAGGGTTTTGAGCCTTGAAAAGAAGGGCACCAAGTCCAGCACAATTTATATACTATAATTATATACACAGTTTACCCCTTATTCTTCGAGATTTGAAAATTAATGAACACATTTTTTCTAAACCTTAATTTAGGATTAATTCTTTAAATTTAAAACAAAAAGAAAAAACAAAAACTTTTATGTACTTGAAAATAAAAACTTGAAATTATAACAAATTGAGAATTTTTCTTAATTCTTCACCGATCGGACAAGATACAAATTTTTAAACATTTTCCCTAAGGCTAAATTCTATATAAAAACAATGGAATTACTCCGATATTGGAAAGTAATTTTATAGTACTCTAGATTTAATTGAATTCTAACATGTTAAGTGTACATAAACAATCGTTTACCCTTGTAAAAACACCCGAGGGCAACATTATATATGTAGTAATTTTCAATATTATTTAATATATGAATATCGGGGGATGAAAGCGAAGTTTTACTGATAATGTGTCATGGAGTTGAACGCATGAGAAAATGTTTAATTTGAACACTCATTCTTCATGTTTCAAATATTAACCGGCGTAGTGAAACGTGTAAACTTTTATGTCAGTACACATATATATACATGTCAAATAAAACTCAAGTTTTCGGGACAATTTGCAAAAAAATAAAGACTTCCATCAACACTGAGAACTGGTGTCCATTTCACCATTAATCGCGTCTTCAGCATCTCATTTCACTATTTAGAAGTAATTTAAGAACATTTAGAAATTAAAACACATCTAAGTATAGGCGATTTTTTTTCACATTTAAAACACCATTTCCAAATTAACAAGTACGCACACAAATTCACGTTTTAAGATATAAATACTGATTGTTTTCTATGAAGTATTAAAGAGTTTTACATATGAGTTAGCGGTACGGTGTTTGAGTTCATGGATTCACTGGACGGTACTGGATAATGTCCCATTGCCTGCATTTGTTGCTGTAGTCTTTGTTGAGCACTTGGGTCATTGGGGTCTGAGCCCGGGGGTAAATACATACTGATCATTTCACGTAAGTCCCCAGGGGCTACACCATTAGGTCGCCCTGAGACGCCTTGTGGTGCGCCCACACTTGAGTGTCCTTGGGGTGTGTTCGATTCACGTTTTATAACATGAGACTGGGGTGGCATGCCATAAGGAGCCATTGACATTGTATAACTTGAGCCACCATTCATATAAGAGGCGGAGGTTGTACCCTGTCCTACCTGCATGCTTTGAGCAGGTAAATATTGTCCATAACCTCCCTGGAACGCGCCCATGTGCTGCATTTGTTGATAGGCATTTGGATCAGTCATCATCGGGTATCCGTTTGGCATGTATCCATTCATGTACATTCCTGTTGCGTCTCTTCCCACCTGTCCCATACCCATTCCTCCAGCCCCCGGGGGCATACCCGGCAAGGCATATTTATCCTTCTTCATTAACGTTTTAGTTTTTCGTCGTGGACGGTACTTGTAATCGGGGTGTTCCTGTAAAACAGAACATCAAACGGTTTTGATTATGGCAATCACCAATATCGATGCTTAGGGAGAAAGACTGTTCAATCATTTCGCTAATAGTTAAAACACTAATTAAGACACATTAAAACATTAATTAATCTAATGCAGTCTCTTCGGGAAAAAAAAATCATGGGTTTGGGGAGCAAAATAGCTTTTAACAAAAACATTAAGATACATGCAGACACATCGACACAGTGTATTTAATTTTTAAAATGGTATTTACATGAAACAAATATTGATAAGAAATATTACATGAAAATAAAATATGCTACAAAAGGCTGACATTTTATAAAGACGTGACAACGATCATGCATGCAAAATTCGAAAACAATAAATAAAAAGATGTAAAATAAATGTGCAGAGTTTGTATTTTGCATCCCCACCATATATATATATGAGAAAAGAACCCAATGAATAATATCAAACGGTTCTAATTCAAATTAAATTATTAGTCGTCTAACAATTCTCTTTAATGTAATAGTTTGCTGTACAAAAGTTGATTTTTTTGTATAATAAAATTAAGAGAGAAAGCGTTTAGATATTAAATGGTACATCAAACAAAATACATAATACAATTTTATGTAAATAAAAAATTTCTACGAATATATAATTTGTGTGGCTACAGTAAGCTATGGGTGGGGTGCAAAATATTTTAAACTCTTACCGCAATTACCTTCATGTGAATTGCCCGCAGTCGCTTCGCCTCATCTATGAAAGGGCGTTTTTCCGTCTCGGACAGAAGTTTCCATTCTGCGCCAAGTCTTTTGCTAATTTCAGAATTGTGCATCTTTGGATTTTCTTGAGCCATCTTTCGCCGCTGTCCCCTTGACCACACCATAAATGCATTCATTGGGCGTTTAACTCTGTCATTTGCTGCCTGTGCGTTTTTAGCCCCGGGGCCACCAGCACCCTGGGAGCCATTTTGTCCATTTGGTGACTGATGGTGTTCAGAGATATGATCTTCATTATTATTGAGCCCTGGGGACGGGCCGTTCATACCCGGGTGGTGACTGGCTGGTAGCTGTGTCTGTGGCGGAGCCTGCCCCTTCAGGGACATCTCCGTGCTCATATCCGTATACTCAATTGTTGCGGTTTGACGTGAACTACGCGAAAAAAATAAACTTTGAAAACTTTCACGTTTTCAAAAACACCCGATATTGTTTTTTTTCAAATTGTTCCCTGTTGTTTTAAATGTCTTTTCACAAAGTATAAAATCAAAATTCACAGTTTTAAACACAATGAATGCACCAATGTTCGAATGACAATGTGCATTGAAACTTCTGTATAAAATCCAATTGTAAATAATAAAGATTATCTTTCCCGCTTTACAATAACTTCTATATAAAATGTCGCTCTCTTGTAAAACAGTGCTTGTTCAACGGTTTATTCTCTTTAGTGTCCTAATAGTATTGATCAGCTACCATAAATGATATTATTTCAGCCAATCAGAAAACGGGATTCTTGAGAAATTCATGCCATTGTGCTGAGCGATTGGTAAACGGGGTATAGGCGATAAGGCGTGATCAGCGAAGTGGGCGGAGTTACGGGTGTCACGAAGTTTTACACAGGTGAGATGAAATGAACAGAATTATACCTGGGAAACAATTTTACGTAGAATTAGATGAAATGAGTGAATATTATGACACATAGAACCGTTGACATTTTGAGTACTTTGATTGGTTCACTAATGAAAAAATAGGGAACGAGTCTCGATCAAATGCTGTCAATAACAACATATGTGACCGCCCCATAGCTACCCGTAATATTTTGGATACACAAAATTAATGTTTACTTCTATTTAAAACATAGAAATAATAAACAAAATTTCACGTCACTTTTTCCCCCATTTCCAAAGTTAACAACCTTCTTAGTACTAAAATGTTTGAAAACAACTAAAGTTAACAGAGTTTAACGGTACATCCAGAATAAAATAAAATAGAAAATTAATTTCATGAACATCTTTCTAACTTTTCAAGCATTGAGAAATTAAAAATTGTCAAAAAAATATTTTAAAAAAAGATAATAAATAACCTTAACAATTATCTTTACTTTTTGGAATAAAACAAAACCGTTGAATTTTAATGTGTATTATAAACTAACGGTCAAAATATTTCATTATTTGGAACGCTGGGAAAATTTGTGACACATTTATAACTTGGTTCTTTGTACACTATTGAATTTGTTACAAAAGAAATCGTTTAATATGCCATATTGTGTATTTAGGTACAATTTGAATACGGCCATGACCATTGAATCACGGCTACACATGATCTTTGACTGATTATTGTATTATAATACAATATTACTATACAATACAAGTAAATACAATTGGTTTGCCCATTGATTCTTTCCCCAACTTTTACACATTTCGAATCTTATAACATTCTGTACAGTTCATTATTATCAGGACCATAAGTTTTGAATTTTATGGTGCATTCTGAACGTTATCTATTGTGTGTATTTTGTATACAACAACAATACTAAAAAGCAGTTTTAATAGCGGTTAAAATTCTACACACATTTTAAAATAGGAGATATACTGGAGTTTGATAAAAACATGTTATATGATTTGACAATAACAAATTTGCTTAAAACGCTGTGTTCTTTCAATGAAAATGAAGATTTTATATAAGTATAGCCCTATTAAAATAAACCACACTTAAAGCCAGACACAACTGTCTAATTCTTTTATGTATTTTTTATACAATTCTTTTGTCATGAAAAAGGAAAGATAAAACAATGTTCACGAAATGTTTTTATTATAGAATTTCATAAGGTTTCATTAACTATTTGTGCATAAACTATATTGATATGTTTGTGCATAAACAATATTCTTTATGTTTGTGCATAAAAAAATGTAAACAATACTTGAGACTTGTTGAATGGCCAGTGCTTCTTAACATTGAAGAAGTGTCTTTAGATAGTCGTGGTTTAAGCGCCTACAAGAATTTCAAGCGTTTGTTCTGCAGGGCCACGTAAACGGAGGATAATCTGAAATTACGATTTATTGCTAAATGTTGGCTTACAACCGTAAATTATTCCAGTAGGGAACAAGTAATTTATTATATCTAATAGACCCTTAATTAATTACCATGTAAATTAGTAGACAAACAGCCAATCACGTGGAAACCGTTGTAAATTTCCTCGTGCCTTTCATGTGATAAGGTTCCGACGTAACGTTGGCTACAATATTGTACGGTTTTTGACCGAGACAGTGAAATATAAGATTTACGATATCACCGTACAAATTGATCCAATATGACTTACTTACAGTTGTCTTTGGAAAAGGCCATTCCCGAAAAAATTCTTTCAAAACGAATTAAGAGGGTATAGGGGTTAAAGTTTACTGTACATACATATCAGAACCGAACTCTTAGCTTTTATTAATCAAGTTATAATTTATTTTTGTCGAAATAACTGAGATCATATCTTTAAAAAAAACCTGTTATCACTGAAATAATAAACGAATATTGTATTCAATGAATTTGTAAAAAAAAGGAAGATTTTTTTTCTTATCTATTATCTCATCTATACTTATTTTCGACAGAGTCCTAATGCCATTTCTCATCAGTGAAAAAAAACAACAACATATATTCGTAACATTCCTAAAATTCAAGACCGGTTATTTGAAGTTCTAATATGATATATTAATAGGTAGGAAGTATTCCGAAATTAAACGATTACGTTAATGAACTATTGAAAATCAATTTCTATTGCCTAACAGTCAGAGACATTACATAAACCGACGTGAAAGGACAAAAAAACTGACCATTAAGTTTTCCCACCATTTACCGTTAGATGTGATTATCACAATGTGAACAAATTACGCAGGTGCTATTTTCACGCCGTGTTTATCTACCGGTGTTTATGAAGATGCTTATCTGTTGCGATTTTATTAGATTTATTAGATAAATATTCCAAATGATGCTTCATAAATACAATTAAGCATGCATTCTTTTTATCAGTCGTTCACACGATCTTGTAAAAACTGCCGGCATACTTTGATTGGACTCTTTGATGATACTCGTAATTATTTCAATTGCCGTGCGCATACCTGTTCGTCTCGGATACATAGAAATGTATGTACGAATTCGGTCTGGGAAATTTCATATCTACAATGTACTAAGACCGTACTGGATTAGTACTGAAGTATAGCTTCTTATAAGAAATCCCACTGATTAATTCGACCCCTTTTCAGCCATTTAGTTGTTAGGCCTCTACCCCTTTTTTTGGTCACCTACAACGTCTTTTTGAACTAAATTCATTTGCGTAATACCTTTGTTAAGAGGACAACTCTGATTCTTATATATCATATTGAAATGACTTCTATTTTCACATATCTCTCTTAGGTATATTTATACATTTTGATCTAATTTGCAAAAGGAAGAAGAACAAATAGGAAGAAAAAGACATCAGTAAACTACTGAAATCATTTTAAAACCAATCTTTGGAATATAAGGCTTTCTTAGTTGAACTTAATTATAGTACCTCTAAGTCCTATATTTAGAAAGAAGAAAAAAAATGTTATTTGCGATTTTTATCTAAGAGTGACACTATGATTGAAAATAATGACCGTGCGATTCTTACACGACACCGAATTTAAGTACGATTATGTGGGTCTAACCACGGAAAACACAGTCATGCAGAAAGGATTATCTTTAAATTTAATCTTCTTCAAAAACCCGAAACGAGAAAATACATGTTTGAAACAATTTGGCAGCGTTTCAAAAACTTGAATGTAATTGACACACAAGACAAAACAGCTCAGGTATTCGGGTCATTGACGTAAATATCTTCGACCAACCTCAATTTTTAAACATAATTTGAAAATAAAGTAAACTGGAAGAAAAAAAGAACAGCAACATTTTTCTTAGTCTCAGAGCCCCTGGGGTTTGACAGAATCCTTGTTATACCTCGCATAGTGAGACAAAATTAGCTATTTGAAAAACCCTGGACAAATATATACCCTCTTTTAAAACGTATTTTGCTCTTCTAGCAGCGTTCAGCTACGTTGATAACAAAAAAAAGGTTGTGCATGCAAGTATTTTAGAGCCTCTGCTGCATGAAATTTGATTTCTCCAGTGACCTTGACCTTGACTTTAGCAATCTTGCGTTTTCAGATATATTGCACTTACCGTTCATCTATCATTCTTCATCGATTTTGTTTTTGTTTTTTTGTTGAGAGCGGGAACGTAACCATGATACCCGGATGTTAAAAACGCATGGTTTCGTATATCCATCGTTTACGATCTGAATAATAATTTCCACAAACACACAGTGTAGCTGGTGTAAAACTATTTCCGTACAAATATGAAAGAAACATTTACACACATTTTAATACATTCCATAACATAGCTAAAAGAGACACTACAGAAGAAGAAAAAAAACACCGCCAAGGTAGCCAAGTGGTTACTCTTTGGGCGTCAAATTCTAAAATGTATCAGGATTTACAAATTTTCCCTTCTTCTGAAGGTTTGTCTCTAAATACAAATGTAATATGTAACGCTATAAGAAAGGGCCTTTTCAAATTTCTAACAATATATTTTGCGACCACTGATAATAGTAACAAATTCTTTTCATTTGATTCAATAGCAATGAATATAGATTTTCACGCGAATACAATGGGGTACTTTTGCGTGTATGAAAAGACCGCCAGAAAACCCGCTCTCCCATTTTTATTCCCATTCAGTTCGCAATGAATTGTAATCGTTAAGCCTCGGTTTAACTAAACCAGAAAATGTAATGCATATTCTGTATAGTTCAATACAATAATATAGAATATGAAATTAAATGAGAGAGAGTTTTAGAATATAATGAACACGGCGAACAATCGAGCTGATTACTGTTAACCCACTAGTTGACACAACAGTTACGAGTGCCAGTGAAATACTTGTACAAATATCTGCAGGGAACTCTGTCAATAGCTTTTACGTTATTTACATTAGCTTGAAACTGTGTACAGTAACTGTTTGATCGGATTACTTCGCATTAGAAACGTTTTTAAATGTACTTAAAGTAGCTATATCAGAAAGAATTTCTCTAATTGCAGGTTTCGAGAAATGAGTAAGCCGAAAACAACGCTAAAAATTGACCACAAGTTGTTTTAATGTTTAATGTGGAAAAACTAGCCAATGGATTTACTTCTCTGTAACAACAAATCTAGCTTTGACCATGTTTATTTTAACCGAAAAGTACTGAAATTCCCCTTTTTTTGTTATTTTAGTGATTCAGAATTGCTTCTTCGTTAAAATAATAGTTTTTATATCTAACAAAAATGCGTTCGACAGAAACAGAACCGAAATAAATCACGACAAAAAGTAAACACGACAAAAATAAAATGTACATAATGTATTTCCCCCGGAGTGGAATAAAATCAAACTCAACATGCCCAAGAAATCAGATGTCGTAGGCTC